GAAAGTTATGCTTCGAATGGAAGTGTCTGTTTAAAAAATCGTAAAAATTATATTGGGCAAAAAACACGCAAAGTGGTATCCGGTAAAATCACAAAAATATGAAAAATTTTTAAAACTTGGTACCAAAAAACGTAGTCTTAAAATGTTATTGATTAATATATTATTTGTATATGTTATTGTCCTTTTTATAATCCGCTCCCAATACAGCTAGGCATTTATGTAACATGATTTTAAATATGCACCTCCTAAAAAATCTTTTATTTAATTTTTATTTTCAGATTTTTCAAATATCTACGTAATGTCTCAATAGAAGGCGATTTAAATAAACCCAACATTGAATTCACAGCTGATGGTGATCTAAAATCGGCAGAATTGAAAATTATGAATTTAAGACCAAGTGCAAATAATAAAAATTTAGTATGGGAAGAGGTTAGTAAGAAACCGAAAACTCCATTATAAATTCCCAGATATAAGACCTTCTTCAATTGTCCCTTTTTGTATATTTTCTTCTTACAGATCGGCGTCTGGAAATCATGGGAAGCCCAGAAACTAGATATACGTGATATCGCCTGGCCGGGTAATTCACATGCTCCACCACAGGGTGTACCCGAAAAATTCCATTTAAAAATCACATTTCTTGAAGAAGCACCCTATATCAATTTATCACCCGCCGACCCCGTTAGCGGTAAATGTCTAATGGATCGTGGCGTCCTATGTCGCGTAGCGGCTGATCATGAAATGGCCGATATTGATGTCGGCCAAGCACATCGTAACGAGTCATTCTATCAGTGCTGCAGCGGGTTCTGCATCGATCTGTTGGAGAAATTTGCCGAAGAATTGGGTTTTACATACGAACTTGTACGGGTTGAAGATGGTAAATGGGGTACTCTCGAGAATGGTAAATGGAATGGTGTCATTGCTGATTTGGTTAATCGCAAAACCGATATGGTCCTAACATCACTCATGATCAATACGGAACGTGAGGCGGTGGTAGACTTCAGTGAGCCCTTTATGGAGACGGGAATTGCTATAGTGGTGGCGAAACGTACGGGTATTATATCGCCAACAGCTTTTTTAGAACCTTTTGATACGGCCTCATGGATGCTGGTGGGCATTGTCGCGATACAAGCGGCCACATTCATGATCTTCCTCTTCGAATGGCTCTCACCAAGTGGCTATGATATGAAATTGTATTTGCAAAATACCAACGTTACACCCTATAGATTTTCGCTGTTCCGAACGTATTGGTTGGTGTGGGCGGTGCTGTTCCAGGCTGCCGTACACGTGGATTCACCGCGTGGTTTTACCTCAAGATTTATGACAAATGTATGGGCTCTGTTTGCGGTGGTATTTTTGGCCATCTATACTGCCAACTTGGCTGCCTTCATGATAACGAGGTAAAGTATTTTTTGGTTCGCCGAACACACACACATACATATGTATACTATTATCTGTAGAATTGTTGAAAAGACTTTATTGAATATTTATTTGTTTTTCTTCCTTTTCTTTTTTTTTTGCCATATAGAGAGGAGTTCCATGAATTCACTGGCCTAAACGACAGCCGTTTGGTTCATCCATATTCACACAAGCCATCCTTTAAATATGGCACAATACCATACAGCCACACAGATTCCACCATCAATAAATACTACAAGGAAATGCACTACTACATGAGACAGTAAGTTTGTCATTCGGGGGTTTTTTCACCTCTAGAGAAATATTTATTTTCTTTTTTCAGGAAGCAAAAAAACAGAGTTTAGTTAAGTGGAGTATAGAACATAAATAAGTTTGGCAGAAAAGGGGGAAAAAATTTGAAAAAGATTTAAATCCTTAACTAAAAAATCCTTGGCAAATTTAAACAATTTTATCTTCGACTAACATAGTTTTAGGCGTGGAGTTTTTAAGCATTTTTTCTTCTAACCTAGCATAGTTTTAGGCGTGGATTTTTAAAACATTTTTTCTCGTAGACTAGCATAGCTTTAGGCGTGGATATTTTAAAGAATTGTTCTCCTAGACTAGCATAGCTTTAGGCGTGGATTTTTTAAAGAATTTTTCTCCTAGGCTAGCAAAGCTTTAGGCGTGGATTTTTAAAACATTTTTTCTCCTAGACTAGCATAGCTTTAGGCGTGGATTTTTTAAAACATTTTTCTCCTAGGCTAGCAAAGCTTTAGGCTTGGATTTTTAAAACATTTTTCTCCTAGGCTAGCAAAGCTTTAGGCGTGGATTTTTAAAACATTTTTTCTCTTAGACTAGCACAGCTTTAGGCTTGGATTTTTTCAAAAAATTTTCTCAAACCTTAGCACAGCTTTAAGCGTGGATTTTATCAAAAATGTTTCTTAAACCTTAGCACAGCTTTAGGCGTGGAGTTTTTAAACATTTTTTCTCCTAGACTAGCATAGCTTTAGGCGTGGATTTTTTCAACAATTTTTCTCAAACCTTAGCACAGCTTTAGGCGTTAATTTTTTAAACATTTTTTATTCTAGACTAGCATAGCTTTAGGCGTGAATTTTTTAAATATTTTTTCTCCCAAACTTGCACATCTTTAGGCGTGAATGGACTTTTTGGATTTTTAATGTAGATTTTCTCCCGGACTATCACAGCTTTAGACGTGGATTTTTTAAGTCGGTTTTCTCCCAGACTATCACAGCTTTAGGCGTGGATTTTTAAGTCAATTTTCTCCCAGACTATCAAAGCTTTAGCCTAGGATTTTTAAGACATTTTTTCTCCCAGACTATCACAGCTTTAGGCGTCGATTTTCTCCCAGACTATCACAGCTTTAGGCGTGGATTTTTTTAAATCGGGTTTCTCCCAGACTATCACAGCTTCAGGCGTGGGTTTTTTAAGCCGGTTTTCCCCCAGACTATCACAGCTTTAGGCTTGGATTTTTTAAGTCGGGTTTCTCCCAGACTATCACAGCTTTAGGCGTCGATTTTTTAGGTTGGTTTTCTCCCATACTATCACAGCTTTAGGCGTGGATTTTTAAGTCGGGTTTCTCCCAGACTATCACAGCTTTAGGCGTGGATTTTTAAGTCGGGTTTCTCCCAGACTATCACAGCTTCAGGCGTGGATTTTTAAGTCGGGTTTCTCCCAGACTATCACAGCTTTAGGCGTGGATTTTTAAGTCAGGTTTCTCCCAGACTATCACAGCTTTAGTCGAGGATTTTTAAGTCGGGTTTCTCCCAGACTATCACAGCTTTAGGCGTGGATTTTTAAGTCGGGTTTCCAGACTATCACAGCTTTAGGTGTGGATTTTTAAGTCGGGTTTCCAGACTATCACAGCTTTAGGTGTGGATTTTTAAGTCGGGTTTCTCCCGGACTATCACAGCTGTAGACGTGGATTCTTTAAGTCGGTTTTCTCCCAGACTATCACAGCTTTAGGCTAGGATTTTTTTGACATTTTTCTCCCAGACTATCACAGCTTTAGGCTAGGATTTTTTAGACATTTTTCTCCCAGACTATCACAGCTTTAGCCGTGGATTTTTTAAGTCGGTTTTCTCCTAGACTAGCATAGCTTTAGCCGTGGATTTTTTAAGTCGGTTTTCTCCTAGACTAGCATAGCTTTAGCTTTTTTCTGTAGTTTTTCTAAGAATAATTTCTAATTATTTTGTTTTTTTTTTTTCAATTCCAGATACAACAAATCCAGCGTAGCCGATGGCGTGGCTGCTGTATTGAATGGCAATCTGGATGCTTTCATCTATGATGGCACAGTCCTGGACTATTTGGTGGCTCAGGATGAGGATTGTCGCCTAATGACTGTGGGCAGCTGGTATGCCATGACAGGTAAACTAAAACCCATACCTCTTTTTCAATACCCTTTTTAATTTCTCCTCCTCTTTTTTCTGCGCTTCTCTCCCTCCACTCCCCCTAGGCTATGGTCTGGCCTTCAGTCGCAACTCAAAATACGTCCAAATGTTCAATAAACGTTTATTGGAATTTCGAGCGAACGGTGATCTGGAACGTTTGCGACGCTATTGGATGACGGGGACATGTCGACCGGGTAAACAAGAGCATAAATCATCTGATCCCTTGGCCTTGGAACAATTCTTGTCAGCATTTTTGTTATTGATGGCGGGTATTTTATTGGCAGCTTTATTGCTGCTGCTCGAACATGTCTACTTTAAGTATATACGAAAGAGGATAGCGAAAAAGGATGGTGGGCATTGTTGTGCTTTAATTTCACTGTCAATGGGTAAATCGTTGACATTTCGTGGTGCCGTCTATGAGGCAACGGAAATCCTTAAAAAACATCGTTGTAATGATCCAATATGTGATACGCATCTATGGAAGGTGAAACATGAATTGGATATGACAAGGCTGCGGGTGCGTCAACTGGAAAAGGTGATGGACAAGCATGGTATTAAGCCGCCACAATTAAGGTAGGGAAAAATGTGAAATTAAATGATTTTTTTAATGTCCCCCTAATTTGTATTTTGTTCCTCCTTTTGCAGACTTGCCTCCTCATCGGATTTACTGAACCATCATCATCTGAAAGAACGACCCCCCTTGATGGGGAATTTGAGTTTAGCAGCCAGTGCCCAAGATTTATACAGGTGGTAAGTTTGTCGTTTTTCCAACCCTACCCCCACACAGTCAGAACAGCAACACACAAATACATACAAATAAATTTTGTAGCTCCACCAAAAACCATAGTCAAACAGCATGCCAACCAAATAACCAGTCAACCAACCAAAGAACCAACCAGTTAATCCACATTCCCACACCACCACAACCTCTCTTAACAATACCAACAATAATTATGTACACCACCCAGTTAATTAACGGATCCAAAAACCAATTCCGCCAACCATATAAAATATCCTCTTGGAGTTATTTAGAATGCCAACCACAACAACAACAATAAAAATATTCCACGTAGTCATAGCTTCTACTTCTAACCCACCTCCCAGCATTTTTTTCTCTCCATGCTCTTTAAATTGTTGTAAATAAATATCCAGCACTCTTCACGTCCAACACCCCTCCCTACCTCCCCAATTTAGCATGTTTTAACGTTTCTCTCGTTTTCAATGATAATAATTATTTAGATTGTATAACCGCAATCTTTTTAATTCGTTTTTAATTAACAGTTGAAACAAAAAGAACAACAACAGCATTTTGTGTAATTTTTAATTGTTTTCCAATTTCCGTTTCCTCTACGTCGTTCATATATATACGGAGGATTATTAATTCGAACAAAACCAAAAAAAAAGAGTGGTAAAAATTTAACACATTTAAATTATTAACACAAAAAAAAAAACATTAACACTTGACAAACAAAGCCTAAAATTGTTCAAATATCGAAGATTTTCAGACTCAATAAAAATTGGATTTTTTAAATATTTTTTTTTCTTCTAACCTAGCATAGATTTAGGCGTCGATTTTTTAAATTTTTTTCTCCTAACCTAACATAGCTTTAGGCTTAGATTTTTTAAATATTTTTTCTCCTAACCTAACAAAGCTTTAGGCGTGGATTTTTTAAAGAATTTTTATCCTAGCATAGCATAGCTTTAGGCGTGGATTTTTTAAAGAATTTTTATTCTAACCTAGCATAGCTTTAGGCGTGGATTTTTTAAAGAATTTTTATTCTAACCTAGCATAGCTTTAGGTGTGGATCTTTTAAAGAATTTTTATTCTAACCTAGCATAGCTTTAGGCGTGGATTTTTTAAAGAATTTTTATTCTAACCTAGCATAGCTTTAGGCGTGGATTTTTTAAATAATTTTTATTCTAACCTAGCATAGATTTAGGCGTGGATTTTTAAAAGATTTTTTATTCTAACCTAGCATAGCTTTAGGCGTGGATTTTTAAAAGATTTTTTATTCTAACCTAGCATAGCTTTAGGCGTGGATTTTTTAAAGAAATTTTCTTCTAACATAGCACAGCTTTAGGCGTGGATTTTTAAAGAATTTTTCTCCTAACCTAGCATAGCTTTAGGCGTGGATTTTTTAAAGAATTTTTCTCCTAACATAGCATAGCTTTAGGCGTGGATTTTTTTAAAGAATTTTTCTCCTAACATAGCATAGCTTTAGGCGTGGATTTTTTAAAGAATTTTTCTCCTAACATAGCATAGCTTTAGGCGTGGATTTTTTAAAGAATTTTTCTCCAAACCTAGCATAGCTTTAGGCGTGGATTTTTTAAAGAATTTTTCTTCTAACCTAGCATAGCTTTAGGCGTGGATTTTTTAAAGAATTTTTCTTCTAACCTAGCATAGCTTTAGGCGTGGATTTTTTAAAGAATTTTTATTCTAACCTAGCATAGCTTTAGGCGTGGATCTTTTAAAGAATTTTTCTTCTAACCTAGCATAGCTTTAGGCGTGGATTTTTTAAAGAATTTTTATTCTAACCTAGCATAGCTTTAGGCGTGGATTTTTTAAAGAATTTTTATTCTAACCTAGCATAGATTTAGGCGTGGATTTTTAAAGAATTTTTATTCTAACCTAGCATAGATTTAGGCGTGGATTTTTAAAGAATTTTTCTCCTAACATAGCATAGCTTTAGGCGTGGATTTTTTAAAGAATTTTTATTCTAACCTAGCATAGCTTTAGGCGTGGATTTTTTAAAGAATTTTTATTCTAACCTAGCATAGATTTAGGCGTGGATTTTTAAAGAATTTTTATTCTAACCTAGCATAGATTTAGGCGTGGATTTTTAAAGAATTTTTCTCCTAACATAGCATAGCTTTAGGCGTGGATTTTTTAAAGAATTTTTATTCTAACCTAGCATAGCTTTAGGCGTGGATTTTTTAAAGAATTTTTCTCCTAACCTAGCATAGCTTTAGGCGTGGATTTTTTAAAGAATTTTTCTCCAAACCTAGCATAGCTATAGGCGTGGATTTTTTAAAGAATTTTTTTTCTAACCTAGGATAGCTTTAGGCGTGGATTTTTAAAGAATATTTAATTTAATAGCTGCATAGCCTTAGGCGTGGATTTTTAAAGAATATTTCCTATAGTAGCTGCATAGCTTTAGGCGTGGATTTTTAAAGAATTTTTCTCCAAACCTAGCATAGCTATAGGCGTGGATTTTTTAAAGAATTTTTTTTCTAACCTAGGATAGCTTTAGGCGTGGATTTTTAAAGAAATTTTCTCCTAACATAGCATAGCTTTAGGCGTGTATTTTAAAAAAAAAATTCTCCTAACCTAGCATAGCTTTAGGCGTGAATTTTTCTCCTAACCTTTTTTTAAATATCTTTTTCTCCCAGACTAGCATAGCTTTAGGCGTGGATTTTTTAAATATTTTTTTCTCCCAGACTAGCATAGCTTTAGGCGTGGATTTTTTAAATATTTTTTTCTCCCAGACTAGCAGAGCTTTAGGCGTGGATTTTTTAAATACTTTTTTTCCCAGACTAGCAGAGCTTTAGGGGTTGATTTTTTAAATATTTTTTTCTCCCAGACTAGCATAGCTTTAGGCGTGGATTTTTTTAAATATTTTTTTTCTCCCAGACTAGCATAGCTTTAGGCGTGGATTTTTTAAATATTTTTTTCTCCCAGACTAGCATAGCTTTAGCCGTGGATTTTTTAAATAGTTTTTTTCTCCCAGACTAGCATAGCTTTAGGCGTAGATTTTTCAAATACTTTTTTTCTCCCAGACTAGCAGAGCTTTAGGCGTGGATTTTTTAAATACTTTTTTTCCCAGACTAGCAGAGCTTTAGGCGTTGATTTTTTAAATACTTTTTTCTCCCAGACTAGCAGAGCTTTAGGCGTGGATTTTTTAAATACTTTTTTCTCCCAGACTAGCAGAGCTTTAGGCGTGGATTTTTTTAAATACTTTTTTCTCTCAGACTAGCAGAGCTTTAGGTGGGGATTTTTTAAATACTTTTTTCTCCCAGACTAGCATAGCTTTAGGCGTGGATTTTTTAAATACTTTTTTCTCCCAGACTAGCACATTTTTAGGCGTGGATTATTTAAATACTTTTTTCTCCCAGACTAGCAGAGCTTTAGGTGGGGATTTTTTAAATACTTTTTTCTCCCAGACTAGCATAGCTTTAGGCGTGGATTTTTTAAATACTTTTTTCTCCCAGACTAGCACATTTTTAGGCGTGGATTTTTTAAATACTTTTTTCTCCCAGACTAGCACATTTTTAGGCGTGGATTTTTTAAAGACATTTTTTCTCCCAGACTAGCATATTTTTAGGCGGGGATTTTTTAAATATTTTTTTCTACCAGACTATCACAGTTATCTTTGCTACAAATTAAACTTTTTTAGGTCAAGACCAACTAATTTTCCCATTATCGAAACTGTCTTTTGTTTTCTTTTCTCTTTGTTGAATATATGACCAAAACAACAAAAGGAAAAATATTGTCTTTAATAATTTCCCTTTCAATATGGCCTTGATTAGCTTTAATAAATCTCCCACAAACACCGACTAATCCTTTCGTTATAAGGATATGCAAACAATTACATTTGGTAAACAACTTGGCATTCGATTTTTTTGTTCCTTCTTTGTTTTCTCGATTCCTTACCAAGATGACTTTATTTTTAGCCATTTTTTAAATATGTATGTGTGTGGATGTGCACACATACATGGAACTGGGTCAATTACCAAGAAAATGGACAGAGAAAAGGAAACACTAAATGAAAAGGAAGAGGAAAAAGAGGAAAAAATAATGAAGAAAAGCTCTTTAAAAATTAATTTAATTAATTTTTGAGCTTGAATTTGTTGCGACGACGATGACAACAAACAACTCAGCACGCATAGACGACGTTCTTCAGGCTTAGCTGTCGACGACAGAAATCGTCGTCCGGTCAGGGCTGTGAAGAGGCTATAAACTATTTCCGTTCTTTCTTTTTCTCATCTCTGTTGCCCATAATTGCCATTGCAGCTTAAACGAAGTGGCGAAGAAGAACAACAACAGCAAAAGCAAACAGTTAATTATCATAAAGATAACGGTTAATATAAAACCTACAGTTTATGTGGTATCTTTATTATGAAAAGAGAGGGAGAGAGCTGAAGAGAAAAAAGCAAAACAAAATGACAACAAGAACAATGATGATGATGACGTCGTAAAGGCTTCAAATGCTAAAAGTCATATTAAATGGAGGTTTGTGGTGGGTAATAGGGTCTAACCGATAAAAAAATAAAGCATAATTCTAGGCGGGGATTTTTAAGAATATTTTTTCAAAGACTGGCCATAGGCGTTGATTTTTTGAAAATATTTTTTTCAAAGCATTGCTTATGGCGTGGATTTTTATACCCTACACAACTATGTTGTCAGGATATTATAGCTTTGTGCAGCCCCATGAGTTTGTAACGCCTCGAAATATTGGTAACAGACCCCCCCCCCCCCTTTAAGAATACCGATCGTCATATCTCAACTAGCTAGCTGTGTCCTTCCGTCCGTCAGTCCATTATATTTTGTAAACACGATACAGGCCACAGTTATGGACCAATCTTCACGAAATTTTGCATGTAGAATGGGTTCTGGCTAATGAAGACCCCTATTGTTTCTGGTAAAGATCGGTTAATATTTAGGACCAAATACTATTTTTTCGGTTTTTCTGGTCGCTCCAGAGGCCGCAATTATGCCCCGAACATCGTGAAAATTACATGGAGAAGGGGATCGGA